GGTGGAGGGGAGCTGCGGTGCAGGGGTGACAAAGCGGGCCGGAGGCGGCGAGGCGGCGGCAGAGGACGCCACATCGTGCATGGTGCAGGGCTAGGGGATGAGGATTCATGTATGTGGGCAAACGCAGGCGGATCGATTCTCACCGGGATCATGGGCAGGACGTGCTCGATGTGGGGCACCATGACCTGATGGTGGGTTTTGTGTGCGGGTTTGTGGCAGTGTGTGTGTGTGTGTGTGTGGTTTTGTGGATATGTGTGTGTGTGTTTGCGTGTGTGCGTGCGTGTGTGAGTGACAGATAAAGAGCGAAAGAAAGAGAGAGACAGAGAGGAAGGGAGAGTGTGTGTGTGTGTGGGGGGGGGGGGACCATGACCTGAGGGTTGGGGCGAGTGGGTCAGGAGAGGCGGCAGCGCGGGCGCCACTGCACGGCTTGGCGGGGCCAGGGGCGCAGCGTCAAGTTGTGCTCAGCCCTTGAACCCCCGCTCATCTTTCGCAGCCATAGGAGCCGACGCGCGGCTCGTGGCCAGCCGCGTCACCCAGCCGCGTCACCCGGCCGCGTCACCCGGCCACGCGCCACCCACCTCGACCAGGTATGGCCCCGGCGTCTCGTTGGCGCGGCGGATGGCGGCCCGCAGGTCCTCCACGCGGATGACGCGCTCAGCAGGGACACCAAACGACTGCAGGTTACAGAGGTGGGGGAAGATATCGTGCAGTGCGGCGCAGGGTTGAGAGTGTGTGTGTGTGTGGATGGAGTTGTACAATGGAGGGTTTGAACATGGATGGTGAGATCAGGGCAACCGTATCAAGAGGTGCTTGTGTGCGCGCAAGTGTGTGTGTGTGTGTGTGTGCTTGTGTGTGTGTGTATGTGTGTGTGTGTGTGTGAGTGTGTGTGTGCGTGCATGTGTGTCCACGGCCGCAAGCATTATGTGCTTTGAAAGTGAATTGGTGTGTACAGGCATCATACCTCGGAGACCCCAGGCCTCTGCAGGCGCCACATCAGCACACAGGCGCCCCAGAACAGGGCGCCCCACTGCACACTGACATCTGAGCAGGGCGCCGCCCCACACAGCGCGGGTTTCCGCACCCCTTGCCTAAAGAATAAAACCCACCTGCGCCATGAGCACGAAGTTGGGGTAGATGTCGGCCTCGTCCTTGGTGTCGTGCCACTCGGCCTCGCGCTTCCCGAGGTAAGTGTGCGCGCGGTTCGCCTGGGATAAGGGGGTGCAGTGAAGCGAGCATGTCAGTGAGTATCCTCGCAGCCAGGGTTGAAGGATGGTACGGGGAGGGGCCAGGGTGGCGGCCGCGATGGCTGTGATGCTGCACCCTTCGCTACACCCCCGAGCCCCCAGGTGCGCCCCAAACATTTAGCCCTGACCGCTGCAACCTGGACCCCCCCCTGAGTGCGAGCTGAACCCTGACCCCTTAAACCCTGGTGCCCCCTCGGGTGCTGCGCGGCCCTTCTTTCGAGGGCGCACCTTGTAGAATCGATCCTCCCACTGCACCACCATCCCCAGGTGCTGGTTGTTCAGCAGCAGCACCTTGGTCGAGGTCGGGTGGGGCGGGGCGGGGCGGGGGCGACGGGGCGCGGCGAGGCGGGCTGAGGGGGTGCGGCGGCGGGGCGGCGCGGCGGCCCAGGGCGCTGCGGGATGGCGACCCCCAAAGAGAGAGCCCCGAGGGGCTGCCAGCCCCACTGTAACAGTGGCAGGCACGGCTGTGGCGTGTTCGCCTGGCCCAAGGGGACCCCGTCGAGCGGGGACAAGCTGTGAAGGGCGCAATCACAAGCAGCAGGCGACAGCAGCGGCAGGCGGGCGGGGCGCGGCCGCCCGTCTCCTCATTGTGGCGGCCTCTTGACGGCGCCCGGGCCGCACCTTTGTGTTGAGCTTTTCAATGAAGGCGGTGGCCAGCTCCTGGCAGTTCATGAGGAAGCTGCCGTCGCCGTCGATGTCCCAAACGATCTTGCTCTCACGCCCCTGCAATGATGGGGGAAAGGCGGTTGGAACATGACGAGAATGGAGATAATGCGATTCGAAATAGTGAGAGATATACGCGCAGAAAGAGGGCCTCGGCCCGCTGGCCGCGACGGCGACGAGGCGCGCGCGCGTGTGCGCGGGCGTGCGCGCGCGACCATGCCGCGCAGGGCGCGCGGGCCCCGGCGCCGCCGGGTGGCCAAGACATGCCTCCGACCGCCCGCTGGCCGGCCCCCGTCCCCCAGCCGACCCCTGCCGTCGGCCGCCCCCGGCCCCTGTTCTCCCGGCCGGGCCAGGCCGCGGCGTGCTCGCGCCGCGCGGCGGCCCACCTGCTTGCCATCGAATGCCGCCGCCGCGCCCAGCGCCGAGGGCAGGCCGAAGCCCATGCTGCCGAGGCCGCCGGAGGTGACCCAGCGGCGGGGCTCCTGTTGAGTGCAGTGAGAGCGCACGCGTGAGGAAGGGCGCGTAGGTGGGGAGGGTGCGCGGCGATGCGAATGCCCGGGGCTCAGGCCCGGGCATGCAGCTGCTGCCCTAGCCAGCAGCGCTGGTGGGGTGGGGCCGGCGAAGGAATTCGCTGTATGCAGCAGGCAGGCTGGGGCTCGGTAGCTGGAACTGTGCCATGTCATCCAAGTGCGGTGCACACATCCACACCCACACGCACGCAAGCGCAAGCCCACACACCCACACTCACACATACACCTGCACGTACGCACACACGCACGCACACACACACACACACAACCCACCTTGAAGGGGTACCACTGCGCCGCAAACATCTGGTGCTGCCCCACGCCAGTGGTGATGATGGCGTCACCATTAGTCTCCTCGTACAGCACCTGGGGCGCAGATGATATTTGCAGATATTTACGTACGTTGATGCAGATATTTCCGGGGGTTGGGTGAGCAGGAGGGGCGCTGTTTCGGCGAGCGGCGCATGGCGGCAGCTCGGGGTGCGTGGTCATGCCCAAGGGGAGCAGTGGCCGCACGGCAGAAGGCGACGCGCTTTCAAGGGCTGGGAG